TTTTCCGGTTTAATTATTCTTTCAGTGTTTCTGGAATAATATTGGACACTATTGTTGTTGTGTCTGTATTATATAGTAATATAATTTTGCGAGAGGATTAGTGCAGCAGTTACTTTTTATTTATAAAGGTACCCTGTAACCAGTATGGACTTCAGAAATTCTTGTGTTTCATGTATAGATTTAATGACCGTTGTAACAAAATTGACTATATTCCAATTCACTGCCACATACTGCTGCTAATTGCTGCAAATTTTCTGACAGTCAGAATATTAGTCTCAGGATTGTAAAAGCCCTTTTTCATATACAGAAGAGACTTTGGCTGATTGTGAGTATTCATGTTTGGGAGATATGGAAATGTCTTACTTTCTCATACATTTTAAAGAGCATGGCCTGGCTGGATGGTCCCAAACTTCTGCTGGAACCTGTGCACCTATATTTTACAGTAGTACATACATAACTTTGATTTTTCATATACTAGAATAAACTTCCTTTAGGTCATTCAAGGTTAACCTAATTCTAAATTCAGAGCATGAACTCCCACTCAAACACCCCGTTAGTTTCTACAAGGCTAGGACCTAATTTTAAATGTGCTAACTCTTAACCTTTATTTCATTTATCCTTAATTCATGTCTAGATAAGTAAGTAAGAAGGTCACCTCTGTTACCGACCATAAATCCCAAAGTCGCTCACGTTTGTCTATATCTGATTGCATTTTAACCTTAGCATGAAACCAATTTTCTTTGTTTAATGTTTCCATTTGTGTAGATTTGGACATAATTGGTATTGTGTGTGTTCTGCTTGTACACAGCACACCACCGTTACTTGTCAATTAAAAGAACATCACAAACTGCTGCCATTTGCACTCCTTAATGAAAATATATGGGCTTTAGTTAGTGTCGGACAACATGCAGACAGGCTGTTACCAGTGCTGCTATGGATTTTGGCATGACCCATGGAAGCTGTCTAGACTGTTTTTTCTTCCCACTTCAGTCGAACACCCTTCTCTAATGAAGAATAAACTAGAATTTTAGCACTTCAATCGAATAGCTGTTTGTCATTCCAACGACTGTTAGCGTTCTAAAAAAAGTCTGCTGTTTTCAGATTCCATGTTACGTAGGTAACCTCAGCAACTGGCAGCAGCACGCTGTACTCGGCACTCAAATAAAAACCGTACTGAGAAAATATGTAGGCTGCCACTGCTGGTCTCTTTTATTGAAAGTACTAGTTGCCAAACAGTCATGATGATCCAAAGTCTTCAATATTTTTTTTTTATTAGTTATGCAAAACAGGACATCTGACTTTACTTTGACTGTGATGAGAAAATATTGGGGTAATAGACAGCCAGGTAGCTGCCATTTTTACATCAATATTTGACCGGCTCATCCATCAAAAGCTCCTTCCATTGTCTTGCAAGATCTGTACTCCAATTCTGGTTAAGAGGACTTGTCAAAGATGATGAGCTGAGATGAGCTCTGGATTCGGTCCAAACCCATGTTTAGTTCGGCTGAACCTCTGGTTGCAGTGGGAAGTTTAATATTTAGCAGTAGTGTTAGGCTCTTTTTGCATGGACATTTAGACTCGCTGTGAACCTACTGATTCCTGCAACTGGGACTGACAGCTGTGTGCGGATAGCACTGGCTGCCAAGCCCATACACTGCAATGACAGGCTGTTGGTGGCTGCAGCTATTTATGACTGTTCGCTCAGTGTTTGCAGGTAATCACTGACTGTGCAAACAGTCACAAATAGCTGCGGCCACTGACAGCCTGTCAGTGCACTTTACACTCGGTGGCCACTACTATCTGCACACAGCTATCAACCCCTGCTGCAGTTAGTGGAGTCTTGCTGCTGGGATTCACAGCATGGCTGAATGCTCATGCAAATAGAGCCTTACTACTCTGCTCTGCTAGACCTAACAGATTCCCACTCAGGCTTCTGGTTAAAGTGGTTGTAAACCAAAGACCTGAAATATGAACGAAGTATATCCCTCTTTTGTATATACTTTGCTTAATCCAGAGCACTAAGTGTCATTTCTCTCTGCTGCCTCATTCCTCTGCTATCTGTACGAGTCACTTCTGTCAAGTTTTCCTGACACCAAGTGGTAAAAAGGTGACAGGGAAGGGACCTCCAGCATGCAGGTTGTGATCAACTCTGTTCCTGTGTCCTGTTTAAAGGAGGCGTGTCCCTTCCCTGCAAACAGCTCTCACTGTGCTCTGCAGAGTGTAACTTCAGCTCCCCATCACCTGCTTTCTGACAGCTTAGACAAGCTGTATAAATTCTGCATTTGAACGGATGTGTAGAAGAGAAGACCGAAGATTTGTTTTCATCTCTGCGTATCTGCATTATCGCCTTAAGCCAGTCACTTTCAAAGAAGTAAATTCAAAAGCAAAAATCAGACAAACATGAAAAGCCTAGTATATATTCAAAACAACCTTAAGCCTGGGTTTTACACTGATGCGATGTGGAATTTGCAGCGTTTTCTGTGCGAATTCCGCACCGCATCAGAATCACACCCCGTTCATGCAAACCGCTGCGGGTGTGTATGTTAAGTTAACAATACCCCGAAATCGGCCCTGCAAAATGCGATGCTATGTGCAGAATCAGATCACATAGGTGTGAATACCCATGCGATCCAATTCTAGCGTGGACCCAAAAAATGTATGGCTCCAATCGCACCACACACAATTTGCATGTGATTTGCACAGGAATGCGGTGCGGTTCCTGTGCGAATCACATGCGATGTACCGTGCCACATATATGTGAACCTGGGCTTCGGGCTTGTTCTCACCAGGTGCACTGGGACTACGTTGGGCAGCCTTGTCCGGTACAGTTCACTCCACTGTTTTGCAGCTGTGTGCACTGAAAAAAAGTACTTTTTGTCAGTGCAGCAGGTTGCAACACAATGCACCACATTGCAGTGCCGCTTTAAAACACCTGTCAGGTTTTGTTGCTGTCTGTGTCCCCATTAGGGAAATCAACTACTGTACAATCAGCTTGCCCATACATGGATCAGAATTCGGTCATACCCTGCTGAACCCTCCAACTTTTGATCCATGTTTGGTCACCCTTACCTTTTTACCCAATAACGTATCCACAGCTCTTTTGCTCACAGCTTCCTCTTCATGTACCCACATTGGGTGCACATCCACTAATGATGATGCAGGGCTTGCTCAGCTTTAGTTTATGGATTCAGGCCAGACATGCAGGTATCAACACATTAGCCTTTCATCTAAAATGGGAGCAAGAAGTATAGTATGGCAATTCTGCTCCTCCTTAGGAGCACAGTGAGTGAGTGTTGTCACCCTAGGACAGGAAGCTTGTTACTGGGAGGACCACAAGATGAATAGAAAATAGAAAAACCTGAAAAAAAATGGGAACTAGTACAGACACCACATCTAAGATCTAATAAGCTGCAATTTAGTTTGGTTTTTGGGTTAAGATACTCTTTACATTGTTGGTTAGAAATAATTTTGCTAATGATATCTGTTTTTTAGGAGGTAAAGCATTGCAGCTGATACTGGAGCATCTTATTGTCAGGTCAGTCATGTCTGCATCTCCTAGTCTGCAGACTTTTTTATTGAGCCACTTCACCACCTTCTGCTTTTTAAAGGTGAGTTTATATTCTAACATAAACCTCCGTTCTGACCTGGATTTATCAAATACTATAAAATCTCACTTAATCCAGTGCTATTTTATGGGAATGATTTATCAAAATGTCCAAAAAAATAAAAGCCTGCAGCTTGATATATGAGATGTGTTCGGCGCCATTTTCACTTGTTGGAAACCGCTTTTCAAGGCTTCAGATTTAATTTAGGTGCCTCATAGACAGATTAAACACATATTACATATAATAAAGGACAAAACATATCTGTGTGTTCTCTCTCTGCTCTGACAGATGCAATTTAATCACTACACTGTGTAGGTTGTATATTGTGTTATCAAAGGGCAGCCTCAAAAATGCTCCCCATGTTTCTGATTCAATATATCTGCTGGAAGGAATAAAAGCATTGGTGTTTTATCTGTAATATCTAGCTTACTTAAAGTAAACCGGTCACAAGCCTAGGTAATTCAAAATGAGCATATGAAGGCAAAAAAGTATCAGCAGAGGTTATCTTAAGTGAACCATCAACACATTTAGTGTATCAAAAGATATAAACAGCTGTTGTATATGTAGGCATCAATAGTTTCCTAAAACAAATATTTGACTCCCTCCCCTCTCCTGTTCTTTGGACCTAATTATTGGTTCACTGATAGAGAGGTTCTTAACCCTTTTAAAAAACAGATCACCAATGGATTGTCCAATACGTTCCCATAATTTTTTCACCAGACTGTTGAAATCATCATCACCAGTCCTACTAGATATCAGTATGACTACAAAAGATGTGGTTTTATTTTTTCCGTTTTGAGTAAAGTGCAGGAGGGGTAACTCCCATGTCAGTTTTTTTTTCTTTGTCGTCTGTGTCCCATGGGGGATACTTTGCTTCATTTTCTCTCTAATAACCACAACAGGAAGTAAGAGGAAAGCCCCCAAAGTGAGGAAAAGTCTTCAGAACAAGTGTCCCCTCTACTCTTGCTACCACTCATAATTTGGGATTTTCTTTCACTTTCACTCTCAGTGATAACAGTCACGAAGAGGAAAGAGCCAGGAGGAGGTGAGCTGTGCTGTGTTCTGTGGGCTCTTCCTCCTGTCGTCCATGCAGCACATGAGACAGTATCACTGATAGATCATATGGGACTGTACACACACAGTATGATTACCCCCCACCTCCTCCAAGGGCTGCTCATCTCCAGGCAACAGGAAATGTGGGTAGGGGGTAGTAACAGGGGTGGACTGACAACTCATGGGGCCCCGGGCAATAGGGGATCATGGGGCCCTGTGTCCTTGCCCAAACTCAAAAAAGCCTATGAAAAAGGTACCAGGGGCATCTCATGGGGCCCCCTACTGACCCTGGGCCCTCGGGCAGTGCCCGAGTTTCCAAATGGTCAGTCCGCCCCTGGGTAGTAATCATAGTGTGTGTGTACAGTCCTATAGGTGCATTCCCACTCTGAGAGACAGAATTAAAAAAATAAATTCAGGAAATCACATTGTATGATTTTTTAAAGAATTTATTTGTCTTGCACTGCTGAACATAAGTATTTGAACACCTAAAAACAGCAAGAATTCTGGCTCTCAAAGACCTGTTATTGTGCCTTTAAAAAGTCCACCTCTACTCCACATTGATTAATCTAACTTAGTAGCACCTGTCTGAGCTCTTTAAAGACACCTGTCCACCCCACAGTCAGTCAGATGCCAACTACTACCATGGGCAAGACCTAAGAGCTGTCAAAAGACACCAGAGACAAAATTGTGGACCTCCACAAGGCTGGAAAGGGCTACGGGGCAATTGCCAAGCAGCTTGGTGAAAATAGATCAACTGTTGGAGCAATTGTTAGAAAATGGAAGAGGCTAAAGACGACTGTCAGTCTCCCTTGGACTGGGGCTCCATGCAAGATCTCACCTCCTGGGGTATCACTGATGATAAGAAAGGTGAGGAATCAGCCCAGAACTACAAGGGAGGAGCTGGTCAATGACATGAAGAGAGCTGGGACCACAGTTTCAAAGGTCACTGTCCGTAGAACACTACGCCGTCATGGTTTCAAATCATGCATTGCACGGAAGGTTCCCCTGCTCAAGTCATCACATGTCCAGGCCCGTCTGAAGTTTGCCAATGACCATCTGGATGATCCAGAGGAGGCATGGGAGAAAGTCATGTGTTCAGATGAGACCAAAGTAGAACTTTTTGGTCTAAACTTCACTCGTCGTGTTTGGAGGAAAAAGAAGGATGAGTTGCATCCCAAGAACCCCATCTCTACTGTGAAGCATGGGGGTGGAAACATCATGCTTTGGGGGTGCTTTTCTGTGAAGGGGACAGGATGACTGCACTGTATTAAGGAGAGGATGAATGGGGCCATTTATTGTGAGATTTTGAGCAACAACCTCCTTCCCTCAGTCAGAGCATTGAAGATGGGTCGTGGCTGGGTCTTCCAACATGACAACGACCCGAAGCACACAGCCAGGATAACCAAGGATTGGCTCCGTAAGAAGCATATCAAGGTTCTGGAGTGGCCCAGCCAGTCTCCAGACCTAAATCCAATAGAACATCTTTGGAGGGAGCTGAAACTCTGTGTTGCTCAGTGACAGCCTCGAAACCTGACAGATCTAGAGGAGATCTGTGTGGAGGAGTGGGCCAAAATCCCTGTTTCAGTGTGTGCAAACCTGGTCAAGAACTACAGGAAATGTTTGACCTCTGTAATTGCAAACAAAGGTTTCTGTACCAAATATTAACACGGATTTTCTCAGGTGTTCAAATACTTATGTTCAGCAGTGCAAGACAAATAAATTCTTTAAAAATCATACAATGTGATTTCCTGAATTTTTTTTTTAATTCTGTCTCTCAGAGTGGGAATGCACCTACAATGTGAATTTCAGACCCCTCCATGATTTCTAAGTGGGAGAACTTGCAAAATCGCAGAGTGTTCAAATACTTGTGTGTACAAATATATACACACACACACAGTCATTGAACTCTCTCATTGGGGGGGGGGGGGGGGCAATTTTTGTGTTTCCTAGGGCAGCACAAAACCTAAATACACCACTGCATAGCGCTATTGTGTTCTGCCGGTGGGCAGCGCGGGGAGCCTTCTCCACTGTCATAATATAAAGACTACTGCTGGTGGCTATAGTGATGTGGCAAAAAAAAAAAGAAAAAGGAAAAACGACAGGCTTGTTCTGAAGTCAATCGATGGACTGACTTCAGTACAACCAGCCTGCTGACCCCTACAGTGGTGGTCAGAATTTCACCCTTACAGGCAGCTAAAAGGATCATTGGTGCCATGCCACTGGCTTTGCCAAGTGGGATTGGTCCCAGAACAATGCAGGCACCATCAAATGGGAGGTCAATCACAAACCGCTCAAGGAACCCCTAGCACATGGAACCTTTGCTGAGAATGGCTGTCCTATGAGGACAAGCAGTTTCAATGATCAATAGGCTTTGGAAGCAAGACAGGACAGAGCCAAGCTGAGCTTCTATAGGAAATGTTGATTTGCATATAAATTCAGTTTTCCATATCCATATCTCTGGGTCTACTGATCATTTTGACATGTCATTTTCACTGACAGTAAACTCTGCTTATGCATTTGTTCATCAGATGTTACATCTTATTTGCCTGTTTTTGTGACAGGTTTGTATTAACTAGTTCATGCTCAGAAAATCAATCCTCTTTAATGTTTCAGGCTAGCCTCAACTTGTCCATGTGCTGCATGATGTTGTCATTATCTGATTGTTACTTTATAGTTATTATATGTCACATGTATTGGTTGTACCTTACTAATGCTGATATATAACAGTCTTTGTAAGATGTGAAACTAATGTATGCAATACTGTATACAGTATCTGTATATACACTATATTGCCAAAAGTATTGGGACACCTGCCTTTTCATGCACATGAACTTTAATGGCATTCCAGTCTTAGTCTGTAGGGTTCAATATTGAGTTGGCCCACCCTTTGCAGCTATAACAGCTTCAACTCTTCTGGGAAGACTGTGTACAAGGTTTAGGAGTGTGTCTATGGGAATGTTTGACCATTCTTCCAGAAACGCATTTTGTGTGAGGTCAGACACTGATGTCGGATGAAAAGGCCTGGCTTGCAGTTTCCGCTCTAATTCATCCCAAAGGTGTTGAGGTCAGGACTCTGTGCAGACCAGTCAAGTTTCTCCACCCCAAACTTGCTCATCAATATCTTTATTGACCCTGCTTTGTGCACTGGTGCGCAGTCATGTTGGAACAGGAAGGGACCATCCCCAAACTGTTCCCACAAAGTTGGGAGCATGAAATTGTCCAAAACATCTTGGTATGCTGATGCCTTAAGAGTTCCCTTCCCTGGAACTAGGGGGCCAAGGCCGACCCCTGAAAAACAACCCCACACCATAATCCCCCCTCCACCAAACTTTACACTTGGCACAATGCAGTCAGACACGTACCATTCTCCTGGCAACTGCCAAACCCAGACACTTCCATCGGATTGCCAGACAGAGAAGCATGATTTGTCACTCCAGAGAACACGCCTCCACTGCTCTAGAATCCAGTGGTGGCGTGCCTTACACCACTGCATCTGACATTTTGCATTGCACTTGGTGACGTAAGGCTTGGATGCTGCTGCTCAGCCATGGAAACCCATTCCATGAAGCTCTCTATGCACTGTTGTTGTGCTAATCTGAAGGCCACATGAAATTTGGAGGTGTTTAGCTATTGACTCTGCAGACAGTAGGCATCTTCTGCTCACTGTGCACTTCAGCATGTGCTGACCCAGCTCTGTCATTTTATGTGGCCTATCACTTCGTGGCTGAGTTGCTGTTGTTCCCAGTTGAAAAAGGAAATTTCATGGATGGACTTGCACAGGTGGCAACCTAACACGGTAACACGCTTGAATTTACTGAGCTCCTGAGAGCGACCCATTCTTTCACAAATGTTTGTAGAAGCAGTCTGCATGCCTAGGTGCTTGTTTTTATACACCTATGGCCATGGAGGTGATTGGAACACTTGAATCCAATGATTTGGAGGGGTGTCCAATTACTTTTGGCAATATAGTGTATGTCATATGGATGTAGATGAGTTTTTAGGGTGTGTCTGTTTTGGCAATAATCATACTGTGGCTTTACTATATATTGTTTTGCTTTGCTTTCCTTTTTAATGCACCCTGTACACCACATTTGGTAGTTAATCAGATATTTGAGGCATTTATGAACTAATCATAAGGGAGTATGGGGGTACATGAATGACAGAATGCCTGCAAAACAAAAATATCCACTGTTTACTTATTTAAGTGTTCCTTTAATGTGTACTTTTTCTGTTTAAAAAAAATAAAAAAAAAAAAGGTAACCAAAGAGGCTAATGAGGGGCCTTGTTTGACATAAGAGCAGGTCCAGGGTAATTGAAAGAAGCTCCTTCAATCCCCCCAAAAGCCATTTAAAGTCCATTGGATCCTTTATGACAACCAAAGCTACCTTCATATTGTTTTACCAATCGGCTCCAAATATAACCAAAATGGTAACATGTCTCAGAAATCTCCTGATTTTTACCACACTTTTGGGGACATTAAAACTTTATTTTTTCATGCATTCCTAGTAATGATGTGTTTGTCTATATAATTCTTTATACTTAGTGTATTTGATTAAATACCTATTACTCTTAAAGGGTGCGTGATTGTACCTTCTTTTGTTAACAGAAAAGTTTAAGCTGGCTATACATCAATAAATTGTCAGCCAGTTCAGCAGGGACTGGCTGAATTTCAGTCCAAGATTGGGCAGGCTAGTCAATCGATCAATTTGTGTTGGAAATGTTTCTCTCAATCAGCGCCGCTGGTCATAGATGGCAGTGCTGAAAAGTGGGGAACTTTCCCCACTGCTGAATAAAATTGATCAGCGGTAGGGATGAACCCTTACCCAATTGGCTGTGGTTTCTTATATGAAAGTTGTGTCTAAAAAACATTGCAAATGCCCATATCATATGGAGAATCATGTGTCAGGCGGTCATATCAAAGTTTCCGAGACGTGCTAGAGTTGATTTACTAGTAAAGGAGTAAAGGCATTAGGAAAGTGAATGCTTGTACATCAAGTCAACTTATGTTCACTTTGAATACCCAGTCAAGTGCAATGGAAATTATAAGAAGATTTTTGCTAATAAATTATTGTTTGATTGAAGTGCACAAAATTTCACCTTGATAACTAAGCTCAAAAACATTTCATTTGTAAAGAGGACATGGCTTTGAACCAAATACCTAGGAATAGCAAACTTTTGGCAGATACATTTTAAGCAAATATTTCTTAGCCTCAAACGTCTGTGATGGCCCATACACTAGATAATTAGCTGTCTGAAAAAGTCTCTAATCATGCAATAACATGCCAGTGTCTAAGCATCTCAACAGTTGTCTAAAAGTATATGTGAACGCTTACCTTGTAATACAACCCATTCAGTTTAAAAACATTTAAATAAATGTGTAAATATATAAAATAAATTATAATACTTAAAAATAAT